AAAAAAAAAAAAAAAAAAAAAAAAAAAAGGAAAAAAAGAAAAAGAAAGAAAAAAGAAAAGAAAACTGATTACGTGGAACGTTTGTGCATCTAGGCCGGATCAATTATTTAATAACGTTTCCAACGGGCGTTACATTTTTCATCGGGTCGCTATATTCGACCAAGATAAAGTCTAACATGTTGAACAGTATAACGTGGTAACTGGACTGCGAATGTTTATCATACTTACGGTGAGTAGAAAATTTAGACATACGAAATAGAGAAAAATCTAAATTAACGCTAATTAATTCAGGTTGGATAAGAATTATGAAGTGATAAAAAAAATTAGAATGAAAAATTCTTTTTCTGTTATTAAAAATTATGTTGTGAGATTTAGAAGAGATATAGTATATTGATATTAAAATAATAACGTGAATAAAATATGTATAAAAATACATAATATATAAGATATGTAAAAATTTATAATGACAGATTGATATTGAAAATATATAAAGAAGAAAAAGTTATTTTTCCAAGCTGTGAGATTGTCTCGAATGTATTAATGTATTTGTTATAATTAGACTGATTTTATGCAGATTTGCATATACTTTTTAGAATATAATTGAAAAGGATAGAACTTTTTTTTAGAACACTAAATATTATAAAAAGCAGTGCTTTGGATGTTTTGTATATTTTTTCTCGTCATTCTGTGAAACTTTGCACTCTTAAATTTTCTATAAATATATCAAAATCTTCACGTTACTTGTTACAATACTTATTGTTCATAAATGAAACAAATTTATTATTAAGAAGTACCATAAAGAATTAAAAATTAAATTCAAAAATAAATTAAATAAACTATAGCCTAGTAGTTGTAATATTTACAAAGTAAAACAACTAATATTCAAAGGTATGAATTTACATTTAAAAAATTTTTTTGTGCTCGCTCTTACACTCGTGAAACAAATTAACGAATTAAATAATCAAAATTAAAGATTAAATCTAAAAACAGATCAAATAAACATTCGCAGCCTGGTTATATATATATATAAACTGCAATTGTCTGCAGAAAATTAGTTTATTTACGTGTTTCATTTAATCGTGGCGTGGTGTCAATTAATTCTTCAAAAATATATAGAACAAAAAAATTTTAACTTCCAACATTAGACGTAATCGAGTTCGAAAAGAATCGCCTGATATTTCAAGCGCAGTCGAATCCGAAACGTCGGTGTAACGAAACATTCATGAAATTAATAATGAAAATGTTCGATTGATGGCCAAAGTCAGTTCACCTTAGCTTCGACGGAAAAACTCAAGTAAAGAACAAAGAGTGTCGTACGCCCGAGCGTGAGATCGACAAAGTGTGACGTGTTCTTTGCAGACGACCACCTTGATAGGACTATTGAAGACGGCTCGTCTTCTGCGACTCGTCAGAGTAGCCAGGAAGATCGACAGGTACAGCGAGTATGGAGCCGCGGTTTTACTCCTTTTGATGGGCACCTTTGCTCTTAGTGCCCATTGGATGGCGTGCATATGGTGAGTCTAAAGAAATTTCAAACAGCAACCCTTAAATGTACAGTGTCTTCACTTGAGAATGTATGTCTATGAAAATCAAATAGTGTTGAAAATTTTTCAAATTGTCCATTAAAATTTAAAGTCCGCAAATCAAATTGTTAATGTAATTTTATTCTTTGTCGAAGTAATTTTATTTCTTGTTGAAGCATGTACCGTCGAAAGATAATATGAAATAGAAAAATGACACTTTGAATATTATGATAATTTAGTTACAAAATTACAAGTAGAAAGATTTTATTCTCTGTTAGAACTAAGTAGAATACATTTTATTTTTGCTTAGTTAATGTATAATAAAGAGAAATAGAAGTATTTACATTTTGAAATAAATCTCTTCATAAATGTATGTTTGATTTTCACAAAACTTCAACAACTTTTCTAAGTTTCATACTCTTGGCATCTGACGACTTAAAACACTATTCTGAACATTAAAATAGAAAAATTAAGAACAATATATTCCTTATATTTTTTCACTTGGGGAAATCATACATTTAAGGGTTGAAAAAGATAATTCATAAAATAAATTGACTTGGAAACGAAATATTTAGAATATTTGATAACGAAGAGTTCAAAAACAATTTGCGGCATGCAAATATCATCATCAGTCAATACAATCACATTATAAATGTGAATATAATAATAATATGTTTGTTATATTACATAAATATATAATTATAAATATATGAATATAATATGATATGTGTAAATTATGTGAATATAATTAATATAATACGACGATATAAATTAATTTATATGATAATGCATTACATAAATTAATTAATTATAGAATACAATTAATGTAATGCGAATCGTGAATATAATAATTGAAACATTGCAGCAAAACTGTACAGTTTTTATTTGATGAAAAAATAATTCACACTGACT